AAATGTAAATTGTTTTGACAATCCTATGTACTTTTTAATTTTATTGAATATTATGTGGCCACTAATATTTTATAATATTTTTATGATGGTCAAAATTATATTTATTAAATGATATTTTTTCAAAAAAAAAAAAGTTTTTTAATATTTGTATTTTTAGGTAAAACAACTTATATTTTAAAACGGAACGAATATAAATCTTATATTTTTAATTATTTGTATTTAGTTTTTTTTTTCATCGTCAACAATATTAGTTATACAAATTTGAATCCGCATGACAACAAAAACACTAGTTCAATAGTCTTCTAATTTCACGAAAAGTTTTAGAGGAATAAACTATTCTGCCTAAAATAATAAACGGTTGAAAAACGATTAGAACATCGGTCTAATGTTTTTTAGTGATATTCTTTTTTACTCTAGATCAATATATTAAACATGAAAACCGCAATCCTCAATGTATTTAAAAGGTCAATATGTTAAATCTAAAATTCTAAAAATAGAAAATACTTTCCTTTTCGGTAATAAAAAAAAGTATTTCCATGTTTTAATATGTAAAACAAAAAAGATGGTTACCACATTTGTCGAGATATTATTGGGTATTTTGTCCGATCTTCACCTAAAAGCAGAAACTGATAGAGATGCATTCATTCATCATAGCCCATCATTTATAAAATTATAAATATTTTAAAAGTGTGAATGCGCCTTCACATGACGCACCATTTTTCTAATCATCTTTTAAATAATATCCGTAGTAATATTCCCAATTACAATCTTCTAGAGATCAATTCGTGGAGGTCAACACATGAACATTTTTATCTTATTTTCTAAATCCAACAATAAATGATAATAGGTTAGTGATTCTATCTAGTTAAGGATTTGTCATGTTTTTTTTTTTTTTTGAGAAAAGGCTTTCAATAATAGATTTTTTTATTTTTCAATAACGATTTGTCATGTTGATCTAAGATGAAAAGAAAAGAAATATCTTTAGACGCTGGATTATCTTATCATTTTGCTTGTTTTGCCATCTGTAGGCATTTTAAATAAGTAAACAAAATAAAAAAAAAATTATGGACTTTGGAGACTAGTGGAGATTTTAGTTTAAAATGATCAAAGTTATAAAAATTTATGTATTTTTTTTTAGTACCAATTCCAAATGAAAAACTAAACTAATCTCTTGGTGTCAAAAAGAAAAACTAAACTAATCTCCGAAGTTTGAAATAAAGCTACTTATATAAAAGATGGCATTTTACTTTGTGTTTTATTCCAAGGCTACTTTCAATAAAAGATATTAAAAAAGTTTTAAGAGTTTTGGAAAAAATCTTCACTCTTTTATAAAGGTGTAGGTTTTGGTGGATAGTGGAGAAGAGACTAACAAAGTTCCCCAATCTTTTAGTTCATGTTCAAGCATTTGAACAAAAACAATGGATGCAAAAAAAAATTCTAGGTTGGAATGGTGACTTCTACACAAAACATGAACTCATTGCGAACAAGTTTAATGAAAATTTAAACAAACTGAATACAACCAGTTCTTGCGCTCTTCCTGATTTCCGCTTTGCTATGAGAAAATGCAAAAACAATCGGTACGAGGTCGTAAACTTGTATAGTTTGGCATGAATGTAGCTGAGGGAGAAGATCGGCTTTAGTTATTGTAGTTATCAAGGCCAAGGTCTCTCAGTGCATCAGTTGCAGATTCTCTGCATAACTCATTGTTGGCCTTAGCAGTCCTTATCAGTTTCTCAATTCCAATGGCAAGCAGAAGAGTTCTGTAGTGTGCAGACAAGAACCCGAGCTCAGTTTGTAAGTGCGATATGTGCATATTGTCCGGATGAAAAAGAATTTGGAGAAGAGAGCTTTTTTTACCTGTTCTCTGCATTTCTAACAGCAATGTTCCGTATCATGTTGCAAGCGTTTCTCTGCATTTGAGCTGCTACTGGGAACCTCTTCATAGCTTGGACCGCCAGATCACCAGCTCCAGCTTCTATAGCACTCGCTGCATGGTCCGGTGATCTCAGACAGATTATAGAGATTATCAACATGACCTGAACCAACCCAGAATATTTTGGGTCAACCACAAGGATTGTGTACTGTTAAAAGAAACAATCTTCACTCGACATTACGTTCTTATCTAGTGGAAAACTGCTATGGACGTGACTTGTAGCCACAAGTATCTTTTCTAGACAGGAAAACTGAAAATAGCGTGGTAGGAATTTTGTGATGGGACATAATGTTGTGAGAGGGTTTTCTTTGGATTTTACTTACCTCTTGTATGACTAGAGGATCATCGGAGAATCGTTGTGCGAGTTTGATTAGCTTGTCGAGACCCCGCTTCTCAACTATGGTACTCTTGTTAGAGTCACTTCCTGCCAACTAGAGATTAAAATACACAATTTAGACAACCATTTCTCAAGAGTGATTACAATGCTAATCTACATCAGTAATTCTAGTATTTGGAAAAAACTTAACGTTCTAGAACTTGCAGTTATAACTCTTCGGATATTTGAAGAACATGAACATACACCACTATTTAACAATGCTACGGCAAAAACTTGAACTCTGAACTTCAAAGCAGGACTATGAACAATTGAAAGGGTTTCAAGACTATAGAGGCAGCAAGCAGGACTATGGAAAATTGAAGGGTTTCAAGACTATAGAGCCAGCTTGCAGGACAGTTTAGAAGCTACACACCTTAGACAACAGGGAACAACACGTTTTAGCAGCAGTTTTGTTGCCTTGTTCACCGCTGTCATCAATACATCGAAGAAGTGTGTCTATTCCACCAGTTTCAGCAATAGATTTGCATATTTCATCCTGATTATAGCAAAAAAGAAGTTTGCAGCCTGAGGATAAGAAGTTACCAGATAGAGAAAATGAACAAAAAAAAAAAAACAAGATGACAAATTTGCAGTGACTTAACCAGTTAAATGGTATGACAGAGAGTTTATACTAGGAGCCTTACGTTTACAGCAATTGATTTTAACGCAATACTTGCTGACACCAAGCTATCAGAGCAAATCCCTGCCTGTAATGCTTCGGTGAGGGCTTTTGCAATCCCTAATTTCGCGAAAGTCCTTGCATAACCATAAACCTACAACATATGAAAGCAAGAAAATATAGTTGACTCGAGTTCTCAAAGCAGGTCCATTAACAAGAACAGAAAAGACTACTGGCAATTTTTTCCTGCTTTTGAAAACACAAAAACAAATATTCTAGATGTTTACTAACTGCTGTAGAGATGGTTAGATGCTTTTAACCATTATCTCTCACAGTCCAAATTGGCATATAACACCAAATGAATGTAATCCTACTTACTTGGGAGGCAACCACACGGTTATCATCTGGCGTCAAAAGAACACGAATTGCATCGTACAAAGCTCGAATGGTGATTTTACTCTGCCGATTCAGCACTTGCAGAATAAATTCATCGATTTTCAGCTCCATGAATATCTGTTTCACAACTTCATTACCAGTTGCTGCAGCAGCAACAACCGCAAAACCAGCATCTAATGTTACAGAATCGAAGCTGGAATCCTTTAAGAGATCAACCACTATCCTTGGTCCAGCAGAATTTCTGAATGCTTCTGTACTCTGAATGTCTGCAATTGTATGACAATATGATCATAGTTACAACTCATGAGCAAACTATACATCATCATGAAGAGTAATACCAGAACATAAGACATACCAAGAATCAAGACAGCCAAAGCTCTAAAAAAAGGAACAACAATGCGATTACTTCCAGTGTCTGACTTGATTTTCGAACAAATCGAGCATGCTAATTCCACAGCACCATGTTTCGTAGCAATCGCCGCGTTCCCTGATACTTGGCTACTACAAAGATCGTTGAGCTTGTCGAACAAACTCGATAACTCATCCAAATCCTCATCTCTAATTACTCCATCTTTAGAAACACAATCGAGTTCTTTTAGTCTATCTAAACAAGCAATCACCGGATTGTCCTTAACACTACCTTCCCCAGGAACACATGTAATAATCCCTGTAACACAAACAAACACACAATTGAACTAACACAGGCTCATTTCCTCCAAACATGAACTATAAATCCAGTTCGAGAGAAAGGGAAACCAAATAGAATTTCTCTCGGGAAAGCAACAGAGAAGGAGAGAGCGTTTACGGACCGGAGAGATCGACGCCTTGAAGCTTGAGTGTGTAGAGAGCGTCTTCGAGAGCTTCGGAAGGTTCCATTTCAAGATCTTCTACATTTTCCCTAACGAGATCGTCGAAGGCCTCCTGAGATATTGCACGAACAGCCATTTCTCCTTTTGCTCAGCCGCTCCGATTCGCCGGGAAAAAAATCCCTTCGATTTTCAGATCAACCGGAATATGTAATCTCCGTTTTGATAGATCGGAGACGAGAGATTGCTTTAAAATTTGTGTTTGGGAGTAGAAAGGGTAAAGAGAAATACAGAGCGGAAAAAAATATACAAAACCCAGAATCTCAAAACGACGCCGTTCAACGTCAAGAGCGTCTTGAAACGACATCGCTTCTACGACCCTGAGAGATCACAAATTTTTTTCACTTTTGGATTTTTTTACTTTTTAGAAAAGGAAAGAAAGATATTTTATGTGTATACTTGAACATATCTGGTTGCTCATTCTCAGTAAAACTGCACAAGACTCATGGTTTACTATGACCTACCAAACCTATCCACAAGGATCAAACGCTTCTTCACATGTTAATAACATTGAGTTGTCTGTGTTTAAAGTTCCCTTTCCGGTTCAACTTCTGCAGCCGCAAGTGCAAACTGCCTAACCCGCTGAGCGAGACGTCTCCTCCGATAAATCCCTACCAAGCGCAGAATCAGGATCATTGCAATAGCAGCATAGTCGAAGACCGTTATTATTCTGAAACCTCCTGTAGAAAAATTGGGGAAAAATCAATCTTGGAAAGCTTTTAACCAAAGAGGGCTTAGAGAATCACATCAGCTTCGATTTTATCTCGAAATTGAGGATATCGTCTTTGATGGAATGCCCAAGAATCTCAATCTTTAACCCGTCATTTCTGGTTTAGATCTTGTGAGGCAACTTACCCGTTGGTATGAAGTTAAACTCTGCGGCAGTGTAAAGGGTACTCATGAACATCTGCAACACCAAAAGAAACTTTAGTTTCTTATCCTTTAATGAAAGAAAGCAATGGCCTTTAAAAACATGCATAAATGCGTTACTCCTATGATGATCACAGAGATTGAGCTGTGTAGTCTTGCTTGGTCAGTAGTACAGCAACAAGAACTAGTGGGTAGAGATAATAACTAAACACTAAACTATGAAGAGTAATAGTCAGATATTGCCATACAAACAAGATTGAAACTAATTGCATGACCAGAGTAAGATGTTCTTAACTGCAAAGATGCGAACTTCGTGAAAATACAGATTGTTTGCATCAGGATCCATCAAATGCCACACCATTCTCTTCATTAGCAAAGGCAGCAGATGCACCTTCTGAAACATTCGAAAGATAATGGTTTTTGTCAAGTCATATAAAGGAGAAATGTGACCCATTTCTAAACAAGAAACGACACCAAAAACACTTCAGAGAACCAAAAATCATGAATCAATAACATTTACCTGAACAAAGCCAGTTAGACCTCCAACAAAGAGACGGTTATACCTACGGATCTTAGCAAGAACCTCCTTCACTTCCTGCTCTTGCCGCTGTTGCAACGATGGTTCTGGTGACAGCTTAGTAATGTGACGAACACACATTGGACACTTACAAGGCCTAGATACTGCAGCGTAGTTCCAGTATTGCAAGATGCAATTTCCTGTATATAATGCACAAGCAGTAATCACAAAATTCCTTGAGTACCAAAAAGGGGTTATTCAAGAAATCCCAAGACTGGAACCCTAAATCAAAATTCCAAACCCAACAAAATGACATTTCTCTATAAGCAATACTCTAATTTTCCTACCAATCTTCCTCTAGCGAGCAGAAAAATCCCCCAAAAAATCACAATCGAGAAACTTCAATGTAAGACTAACCGCAATACCAATGACCACAATTCCCTCGACATGGAACCGTAAAGGAGCCGAAACAAATCGGACAACAATCATCTTCTGGAGGTGACTCGCTATCTCTATTCTTCTCTCCACGATGATTCTCCATTTCAGTCTTCCTCTCCCCCACCGACACGACTCCGTCAGCAATCACGTCGGCGTTCGGCGACTCCACCGCAAGAAATTCCGACACCGCCTCGTGAAACACCTCGTCGGTGTTTACCTCCA